GGGAGACAGACCTGGGGCAGTCAAGAGAGGCCAGTAGGGCAGAGACTTCAAGGAGGCCAAGATCACTGAAGGCAGACATGGGTCTGAGATTCAAGGAGTAGGAAGTCTGGTGAGGGCAGGAGTGGGAGCTGACTCTGGACTAAGTGGGAAAATGGAAAGGAACAATGGCAATTATAGAAAACCTTAGATAAAAGTGTCTGAGAACAGGGGAGAGCACACAAAAACAATGCCTGTGCAAAAGGATAAAGGATTGAAGTTGCCAGTGAGGTTGCCAAAGCCGGAGTGCTGTGCTGGGAAGTGACCAGTGGTTCATGGCTCTGTCGGTGGTCCCAGCCCAGGTCCTACACCAAGTAGGAAGTCAATAAAAATTTGCTATATTGAGGCTGAGGAGATGGCTCAGTGGATAAAACTCATGAGGACCTGAGAACTCATGAGGAGCTGAGTTCAGATCTCCAGCATCCCTGGAAAAGCCAATGGTGGTTCCCATCTGGAACCACAGTGCTGGGAGGACTGGAGACCAGTGGATCCCAGGGCCTTGCTGGCCAGCCAGTCTAGCTGAAATGGTGAGCTCCAGGTTCAGTGAGAGACCCTTATAAAAAATAAGGTAGAAGGGCCAGGTTTGGTGGCTCACATCTTTAATGCCAGCACTCAGGAGGCAGAGGTAGGTGGATCTCTGTAAGTTCCAGGCCAGGCTGGTCTACATAGTTGAGTTCCAGGCCAGCCAGGGCTACATAGTGAAACCCTGTCTCAGAAAAAATAAATAAATAGGGGCTGGAGAGAAGGTTCAGTGGTTAAGAGCACTAGCTGTTCTTGCAGAGAACCTGGGCTCTAGTCCCAGCACCCACATGGCAGATAACAATCGTCTGTAACTCCAGTTCCAGGGGAATCTGACACCCTCTTTTGACCTCTGTGGGCATTGCATGACACAGGTACACCTACTGACATGCAGGCAATACACTCATACACACATAATATAAAAATAATAAATCAGCCAGGCATAGTGGCACACGCCTTTAATCCCAGCACTCGGGAAGCAGAGGCAGGCAGATCTCCAGGTTCAGTGAGAGACCCTTATAAAAAATAAGGTAGAAGGGCCAGGTTTGGTGGCTCACATCTTTAATGCCAGCACTTAAGAGGCAGAGGTAGGTGGATCTCTGTAAGTTCCAGGCCAGCCTGATCTACATAGTAAGTTCCAGGACAGCTAGGGCTACATAGAGACCCTGTCTCAAAAAGACAAAAAATAAATAAATAATAATAATAATGATGATTTAAGACCTTTAGCCGGGCATAGTGGCACATGCCTTTGATCCCAGCCCTCGGGAGGCAGAGGCAGGCGGATCTCTGTGAGTTCAAAACCAGCCTCGTCTACATAGTGAGTTCCAGGACAGCTGGGGCTACAGGGAGACCCTGTCTCAAAAAGACAAAAATAATAATAATAATAATAATAATAAATCAAAAAATAAAATAATAAAGAGGGAGCATGGTAGGGGAAGACACCCAATGTTCACCTCTGGCCTTCACATGTCCACAAAAGTGGGCGCATATGCACACACACATGCACCATATCCACACAAAGAAATTTTTGCCATCATACAGACTGAAGCTGTAGCTCACTAGTACAATGCTTGCCTAGTATGCACAAGATCCAGTACTGAAATTCCAGTACTGAAAACAAAATTACTACCTTTGAGGATAGTGTAAGATGAGGTGAAGAACATGGAGGGAAGGCCTGGCCACTAGCAGGAAAAGGGGTCTTTCTGCCACTGTGCCAGGGGTGTGAATAGAGGGGGTGCTAGGCATGGATATCATACAGTACAGGACTACTTAGGACTGAACTGAATCTGAGCTGAATCACAGAGAAGGAGGGGCTGAGTGAGTGGCTCTAAGAACTCCAAGATGACTAGAGGGCATAATGTGAGTGCTCTTGAACCCTGCTTCTAACAGCTGCACCCTCATGAAACACCAGCAGATGGTGATAGTGAGTTGCCAGTCACCATTAGAACAGATGGCAGCCAGCCTGCTAGTTCCAGACCCTTGGTCCTCCAGAGCCTAGGGCATGAAAGGGTTGGCTAATCAGGTTTCTGACTAAAGGGGGTTGAGAGATGGGACAAAGCACTAAGACTGTGGGCTGAGAGGGCTTGGAGCCAGGTGGCTCCAGGAGCTCTGTTCCTTCTGGTTGCCCTTCATTTCCCTGCCATTTCAGGACCTGCCTTATCTGCTAGGGCTCCCGCCCCCCTTTCTTCCTCTTCTTTGTTGGCCCCCTAACAGTCCAGATTCCTGATTCTGGCAGAAGCTGGTTCTCTGCCTCAAGGCAGGCACAACCTGGCACCAGGCCTCAGACAGGGCTGGGCTGGCCCCTCCCAGTTATGATTGCTTGAAACGCCTTCCACTTCTAGAACACCTCCTCCCCACACCCCCCAACCCCCCATGAGGGAAAAGGGTCAGTGATTGAGGAGGCCACAGGAAGCTAGAGTATAGATCCTGGGAGGGAGGTGTCATGGTCTCCTAGCCTTAAAAAATGGGATGATTGAGAGGGGAGGGTTATATAAAATGTAGCAGGTAGTTTGGCCTTTTTTTGTTGTTTTTTGAGACAGGGTCTCCCTGAAGCCCCAGCTGACCTGGAACTTGCTATGTAGACCAGACAGGCCCAATCTCACAGAAATCCAACTGCCTCTGCCTCCGGAGTGCTGGGATCAAAGGTGTGTGCCACCACACCTGGCCAGGTCAGTCTTATCAACATTTAAATCTCACAAGACGAATGGTTCCACCTGAAGTGGCATGTTTTAGAAGCTTAGCTGGAAACATCCCCTTACCCATCTAAGCCATCCTATACTCCACAGCCAAAGCCAAATAAATCCCTCTACCCTATCTGCTCTCATCCAATCTCCCTCCATCATGGGCTTCCTGGTGTGTGTCACAGGACCAGGGTAGAGCTCTGCTTTTCAGTCTCCTCCTAACCTTGCTTTCCTACTTCTACTGCCCTTCTCCATCACTTCCTCTTTCTTGTTCTGCTACAGCAGAAAGCAAAGGTACTATCTACCTTGACCCTGAAGGCTCCCAGGATTCCCCTTTCTATCTCCTTTTCCATTACTCCCTTAAAGGGCTGAGACACTATAGCCAGACTCTTGGGAGGGTGACTAGATAGATCTGGAGGGGGGGGGTCTGACCAATGCAACTTCTACAGTCAAAGCAGGGTGCTGTGTTCACCTCTGGACCTGGACCATAAACTCATGAATTCAGGACAGAAAGAGTCAGTGAATTTAGAAAAGGAATGCCTCTCTGAATTTCCAGAAGCACGGTGACCCAGACAGAGGGAGAACTACAAACATACATATGCACATGCACACACAGGATCATAGCACAGGTAATGATACAGCCATATGGCATAGACAGGCCATAGCGTCCATGGACACAAGTACATACAAACAAACATAGGAACATAAGGTTATGTACCCAAAGTCAGGCACACACACCCTCCCAGGCAAGTCCTGCCTTCCAGGCCAGGGCTAGCCTGTCTTCCACGCCTCTTGGAGGAAGGGCAGGTAGAATGACTTTGAGTAGAGGTGGGCACTCCACCCAGAGTTTCCCACCTTTCGTGGGTCTGCCTGGCCTCCAGGCCCTTCTCTGAACTTTCCCTGACCCACCAGGAGCCCATGCCTGGGTGGCAGAGTCGGTTTTGGAGGGAGCATTTTCATGAAAGCCTAGACCAGAGTCTGGACACAGGTGGATGAGCCACAGGGCCCTTTGACAAGGAGTTCATAACCTCCCAGGACTTGGAAACTGCACAGATGAGGAACTGGGCAAGGTCTGAAGGTTCACAGGACCAGGGATTGCCCCTGCTACGGTATGCACCTACTCAAAGTATAGGGCCTGGTACCCAGGTATTGGCACTAACTCCCAATGCCTGCCAGAGCCCTGGCATGCATGCTAGGCACAGGGTGCCAGACACGGGGGTGGCAGGGGGGGGTGCCAGGCCACACACAAACAAGGACCTTTATACACACAGGGAGGGAAATGAACCCACACACCACTTATTTCATCCCCTGGGGATTCAGGGGAGCAGGGAAGGGACCACCCTGACCTGACTCTCCTTCCAAGCATTCCTATTGGCTTGGCTGTTGGGGAGGGGGTGAGTGAAGCAAAAGTCTGATTTCTCACCCAGATCCTCCCACACATACACTTGTGTGGCAGGAGATGAGACTGGGCATCCCTAGATTTGGACCCTGGAAGACATTGAGGAGGTGAAACAGAAACGCCCAAGAATCCAGGCGGCAATCCTCCTCTGCCTAGCTGTGGCTGCAAGCTGCTCCGGCCTAAGTGCGCATTTGAGCAGGCAGACCAGGAACCAAAGGCAGTACACGGACTGCGGATGTGGCCGGTGGCTGGCTCGACGCACGTTGTGTTCTGGAAGGCATGGTGGCCACGGCAATATTCATGTGGAATACTTGAATGGAAGTCGTGGTTGTCTTTGGTATCCTGAGGAAGCGTGAGCAGGATGTGCTCACCTGGGCGTGGCGGCTCAGGACCCTCGCGTTGCTGGGGGCACAGGAGTGAATGGATGCAGGACATAGGGTTGGGCAGGCTAGCCCTTTCCCTACGAAGCTGGCGACTGACGGCTCCGCCTTGCGTGCAGAAACTTGGGACTTTGTTCCGGCTTCTTCGAAAGCGGATCTGGCCTAGGGGGCGGAGCAGGGTGGGGGGGCACCTGCCCAGCGAGGGGCGCCGCCGAGAGAGAAGCGCAGGAAAGTCCCACCCCCGCCC